ATTATTTGTATATTAAACTATCGTTTGTATACATTTTTATTTAAATTATGCTATTTTAACTCACATGCTCTATTTCCTCCCCCACTATATAATAGAAGAATATTAATTACATATTTTTTTATTTTTTTCTATTTCCTCAAAGGACCTAGGTTAAAAAAATTAATCCAACTCTACTGCCTGACGTTTCAACCCCATCTAAATCATGCAAGTCCAAAAGTTTTTAAAATTTTGAAATAAAATGCAGTATTTTATCAATGCAGCATTTGAGTTGCAGAGAGGATTTTTAGTTTTTAAAATTTCATATAGGTAAGAATATAGCACAACTTTTTTTTTTTGGGTGAAAGAATACAGCACTACTTTAGTTAAATATATTTGGCATACAAGTAAATATATAAATATTTTTATAACGTATGCGAGCAGGAAATTTGGAATATTTAAAAACCTAGTACGCTTTGTAGCTTATACGTATAAAAATACTCCTTCTTGACAAAGTTGCAGTTTGTACCAGCCATTAACGACCTTAGACTTTTACCTCCAATAAACTCAACCATATTTGCAAATTCACTCACCTTCCCTCTCCTCCCTTCTCCTCCATATATATCCTCGACCCACATATACATACACCTCCACACGTGCACCAATCATTTACAGCTGCATATTCAACAAGAATACCAGAGCGTCTCTGCTCGCCATGGGTTGCTCTGCCTCCCTTCCAGGTAAATCCGCGTGCAAATTGGATCCGTTCGAGCTTTAAATTCTAGGGTTTACTGTTTCAATCGAAATTTTCATGTGGGTGCTGTTATTTTGGTCTGTTTCCTTGATTTTTAAGCTGAAAGAGATTGCATTGACTAGTGAGAATGGATTGTTTGTTTATTTAGGTTTTGGGTTTTGGGTTTTCAATATTGCTTTGAACTGTGATTACCCTTTTGAGGAATTTCTAATTTTTTTTTTTCTCGTTTTGAATTTTGATTGAATGGGGATTATTTTCTCAGATAGGAGTTCTTCTGGGCGGTTGGTCGGGCCAAATTCCGAAAACGGTGGCGCTTCTGATGCCAAAAATCTACGCGTGAAGGTATGTTATAGGCTAAATTGATGCAGTTAATGCTGTTACTGTCACTTATTCCAAGTTGAAAGGGTATGATGCTTGGTTCATTACTAATTTCTGATTATCTGAAAGTTATTGTTGGTGTGGAAAAATGCTAACTTGAGCTTTGTAAGTTAACAGATATGAGTAGTGTGTTTTGATACACCACTGATTTTCTGTATATACCTAAAACATAAGAGAAATGCATCCCCAACAACTTGCAATTCATAGTCTAGACATTTATAGAAATGCATTAACATATTGGCAGACTTATAAATTTTCTATGGAGTTTAGTCAAGCAAAGGACTGCAGTTAAAATATAATAAGATGCATTTAGTGTTGTGATTGAAAAAAGCTTCAAACTTCTGCTTTACAGTTT